GTAAACATTAGAGGCACGAGATTGAGGCCTAAGAGGACAAAGGGGAAGTCCATGATCATGTGCACTTTGACGCTCGAGTAGAATATCGAACGGTATATTTTGTATTAAAAAACACGAAAGAAGGGTAGAATTAACCATGTAAGTTTTATAGCTATTTGATAGGGATTAAAATTTTAATTTAAGTCAAAAATAACAATTAATTTTAATCATATGAGTCGCAATTATTCAGTTACACATTACATCGACTTTATCAAAATTTACTAAAAATCTTATTTTCCCTTCCAGACAGAGGCTTAGCATAGAAAAAGGGTAAAATGAAAATTAATGCTAATAGAAAAGTTTTTAATAATTAACAATTTTCTATAAATACACCACAATTTAATTGCATTGAAATTTAAATGTCTCTAATATGTACTCACAGTCACACACACTTATGTTCCCAACTTCTTTTTCACTGCATTTCATTTTAATTATCACTCATTAATACATCCATAATATATCAATGTCTCTATCCATATGTCATTATTGCCCTTAGGAATTTAATTCTTTTAAAGTGTGTCCGATTCTTCTCGACGTGCACTTTAATTCAAAACGCGAATGAAGTGTCTTTCTTCCCGATGAATAGAATGTCAAATTACATAGAAAGTGCTCTTAGGCATAAATTCTATATGATCATTTTTTTTTTCGACAATCGAAAGAATCAGAATTCGAAAACATGCTTTTCACATCTTAAAATTTGAAAAAGAAGAGAGAATCATATAAAGTCTTACTCATTGATTAGGACAACCTAAAAAGTGATATTTTTCTATTCTATAATTACAGGATAATATAAAAACAGTGCTAATATTGAAAGTATATTAAAAGATTATTGAATAAATTTTATTTGCTACAATTTGCTAAATATTAGTATCCCACAAATGATGTCTGAACAAAGTTTGTTGGTCAGAAATAACCCAACTGCTGGTTTATAAATATATATATTAATAAAAGTTTTATTACTTAGGAATTGACTGGGAAACGCCACAAACCTCACCTCTTGGTAAAGACATTAGCCCCTGGTTTGCTCCCGTTAAATTAAATTTCATTTTTCTCTCTTCTAATTAATCACACGTTTTTCAATAAAATAATATCATACTTCAATCTAAAAAAATTCATTTTTTTAACCATACATTCTCCAAAAAGATTAACATTTCTCTCATTATAATCTAAAATAATGGAGCCCAAACGGGGGCTAACAATTTTCACCGGATAATGATTATACATTGTCAATGGTAATGAAATTAAACCCTTAATAATATGGATGTTTAAGAAACTTACAGAGTTAAATCGTCGACAAAAAGGAACCCACCAATTAGGGATGTTAACGAGCCGAGCCGACTCTTGAGTCTAAACTTGAGGTTCGGGCTCAACTCGAGTAAAAATGGTTCAAACTTTTTTTGGTCGAGCCTATTTAAATGATAGAATTTAAATGATAGTTTTAGCAGAATTCGAAAACATGCTTTAGTAAGTCGGGCCGAGCTGACATTTTTTTTTTTAATTCATGACAAATCTAACATTTTTTTAAATAACTTAAAATTTGTGCAATTTATACGAATTATAAATTAAATAAAAGTTACAATTCTTCTCTTTTTTCGAGCTCGAGACACGCTACAATCAACCCAGGTGGAGTTAAAATTGTACATGAATAAAATATTTCGTTTACAATTTTTCTTGAAACAAATAAATTTAAAAATTAGGTATTTTTTTGAATATGTTGCCAACAATCCAATGATTCTTTTTTTTTTTTTTTTTGACATTTTAGTGTCAAGTACATCTTCCTATTCGATATCCTTCAAATCAATTGAAACATTTTGAAATGTATCGTAGCTGGATGAAGTACTCGAACAACCCTTAAACTGATTAATATCATTATTAGCAAAATCCATCTATGGCTATTATAGTAAAAGATACTGAACATTGGAGTAAAAAAAATTGAATATTAGAGTAAAGAAATTTGAGATTGAAATTGAAACTAAAATACTGCAAGTTAAAACTGATTGAAGTAAATTGATATGAAATTCAAATTTTTACCTTATATTTGTAGCAAAAAAATAAAAAATATCCATTTCAACCAAATTTGAATTTCAAATTTGAATGCAACAGTTACTTGTCGCATAGTAGCTACTGTTGCCTTGACAAGGTAGCTCTACTCAAGGTAGCAGTAACTGCCTCTGCCTGTTAACGGCAGCTAGCTACCTTCTACTATGTTAATATAATTTTTTTTTTGCTGACAATTGTTTTTATTAATTTTTTTAGGCTCGAATCTTTAAGGGTTGAAAATGGCTCGTGATACGAGTTGGCTCCGGTCCGAACCGATGCCACAAAATGGGGATCTATCTAAGTCTAGACTCGGTTCTTTCGAACCATAAGTCGGGTCGACTTGAGCTTTTCTCGGAGCGAGTTATGGGCCGTCTGAGTCGATGAACCAAATTGTCGCTTGTATCACTAATTGAACCATCAATCAGTCAAATTCCTAGTTGGCATTGTCTCGCAATGAGCAGAATATTAAAGTGATACTTTTGTTTAACGTTTTCCACTGATAATTTATGGTAAAAAACAAGACGAGAAAATTTTTCTACATGCTTTAATGTATGAAATTTTGTGTGACATTAATTACTTGAAAATATATCCATAATTGGCTTTCATAATTTGGAGGCATGTGATTAAAATGTATGAAAAAATTTTAAATTTATGAAAATGTTTGATAAAAATGAATTTTAATAAAAAAAAAATTATTTGGAGAATAGTAGACAAATAGGGAAAAAATACGGAACCTCCCAACCACACATGAAGGGAAGGAAAAAAAAAAAAAGAAAAAGGAACTGTGCCACCCGGGGTACAAGTAACATAATAAAAAAAAAAAAGTTAAAAAAGGAGGGATGACAAAAATATAGGATTAATGATGAAAACCTCCTCCTTCTGCCACCTCTGACACCGTTGACCACGCCACCCCCTCCACACGCTTCTCAACCCCACAAGAAAACTGACCCAAATTTCCCAACCCAACAAAATATGTGATAATTACCTGAAGGCCTTGTATGGGAGGGATTAAAATCGGATTAAAATTGAAAATATAGCCGTTATTGTTGACTTTTATTAGACGGATGGGGCCCAATAACGGTCATATTTTCAATTTTAATTGGATTTTAATCACTCCCGAACGGTTGTCGGAGCGCCCCTGCCGGTTCACAGCAGCGTCGACGCTGCGAGAATCGCTGCTGTGAATCGCACAGCAGTCGGATGCTGCTGTGCTGGGATTCACAGCAGCGTCGAACGCTTCTGTGCGATTCGACGCTGCTGGGATTCACGGCAGCGTAATCCCAACATCGTCGAACGCCGCTGTGAATAACAGCAGCGTCGCAGCGTTGACCCTCTTGTGAGATTCAAGTGGGTTTGTTGCAGACCTTAATTGTTAAACTGACTCCTTTGTGTCTTAGAATTTTTTGTTGGATCTGTTGGGGATCTGCTGTTGAAGTTGAGTTCCGACCTTGATTGTTAAACTGACTCCTTTGTGTCCTCGAATTTGTTGTTGGATGGGCGGGGGATCCTCCTTCTTGTCCTGGGTGTGGGGTGGGTCTGTTTGTGTGACTGTTGTTGGCGGATATGTTGTTGGTGTAGGATCTGTGTGTTGGTGGATCTGGTGGTGGTGGTTTGGATGGTGGTTGTTGGTTGTTGGTGTTATTATTGGTGGATGGTTGTGGCGGTGAAGGTGGTGGCGGTGGCATGGATGCAATGAAGAATGTATGTGACCAACTAGTTGGTCGATCTGTGACCAATGTTGGTGGTGGGTTTGGATCGGGGGACGGTGTGTTTGGGTGTATGTATGGTTTTCTGTAACTTTGAAATTGATAATCTGTAACTAAAATAGGAATCTGTGACCAACAAATATGAAAATACGGGACATGTGACATATAATTTTTTTGATCTGTGACCAATAAAATATTTCGTGACCTATAAAATTTTAGATGTGTGAGCTCGAAATAATCCGTGACCTACAAAATTTTTGATTTGTGATCGATAAAAAAACTGCGACCTATAAAATTTTAGATGTGTGACCTCGAAATAATTCGTAACCTACAAAATTTTTGATTTGAGACCGGAGAAAAGTTATCGGACTGGTAGTTGGAGAAGTCGCCGGAGCAGATGGTGAGGTGAGATGAGGTGAGGTGAGGTGGGATGGGATGGGGTGGGGTAATTATATTATATTACAATTAAATATTTAATTTAATATAATAATTGTGAAATATAATTAGTTAATTCATGAAAAATTTGATTTTTGCAATTCCAAACTTCGGAGCCTAATTTTTGATTTTGGGATAGTTAAAACATGAGTTGTGATTTTTTCCCACAAAATATAACTACCAAAAGCCCAAAAATTCAAAACACAGAATAGAAAAACCCACTTCAAGACCCTTCTTCTTCTCCCCCTACCCCTACCCCTACCCCAACTACTTAACAACACTTCTCGACACATTTACTTCTTTAATTGACACGCACTGACACACAAGAAGCAAATCCCAAGAAGCACACATTTACACACACTACTGATTCACAATGGAGAAAAAAGGATAATCCAAGAAAATACTACAGATTTTCTTGAACCAACGACAAAGATTCACTTCCTTCCATTTCCACGGTCACATTTGAATTTTCTAAAACCCTCTCTCTTACCAAATATATGTTCTTACATTGCACACCAGATCCATGTATGAATCCGAAATTTACAAAAAACAGATGCTGTACCTCGTGCTTCGTTGATTGTACATTACATTATTCCCAGCCCCACCGCCATTATGGTTCTATTACATTAAACAGAATTTAGCTCCAAACTTTTCCTCTCTAGATTTTTCTGATTTCTTCTCTCTCAAGGATCTACCTGTTTTGAATTTTCTTTTTCCTTTTTTTATTTCCATTCACAATGCCATTATATAAAATTTCACCCCTGGATTCTGCTATGTGACATGGGCTGTAGTGGGTCCAAGGCGGACGACTTGCCTCTGGTGGTCCGCTGCCGGGAGCGGAGGGAACTCATTAGAGGGGCCGCCGAACACCGCTTCGCCCTGGCAGCGGCCCACGTTTCATACTTCATGTCACTCAAGGAAGTAGGCGATGCTCTCAAGAAATTCGTGGATGAGGAGCTAATTACTGCCTCCCCTTCTTCCTCCTCTCTGTCTTCGCCTTCCTTAGTTCTTCCGCCGTTGGAGAAAACCAGGAAAATTAACAAAGAGGGTTCTTCTTCGCATAATCCAGGGACCTCGGATTCTAATGGTGGTTATGTTTTACATGCCCATGGTGATGAAGATGATGAGTCTCATATACATTTGTCAGATTCCGATGAGGATGAGGAAGATGATTGGAATCATCATCATCCACAGACACACAAGAATGATGATGAGGATGGAAATCATTTGCATCACGTTGAAGAAGGGTATTCATCTCTGTATCCGCAGGGTGGATTTAATGGGTATGGATATGGTTATGGGATGATGAATGATGGTTATTCATACCCACCACCGTCTAATTCATATGGGCAGCCTTATTCTTCTTCTTATTTTCCGATGGAACAACCGATGGATCAGTACTTGTGGGGCCCACCGGGAGTGCCGTCGCAACAGCCACCACCAATGCCGGGATACTATTCGAGTAATTCGAATATGTATTACACGAGGAAGTCGGCTCTGGAGATGAAAACAGTGATTCAGGAGGCGGCACCAGCCCAGTCGACTAATGGGTACTTGAATTCATATTGGAATTACCCGGCCCCTTATGGAAATGGTGGTGTGAAAGTGAGTCCTCCTAAAGAACCACCGCCTCCACCATCGCCCAAGGCCACGGGGTGGGATTTTTTTAACCTGTTTGATGGGCACGATGTCGGGTACCAGGGTTATTATTCAACTGGTGGATATGGGTATAGATCGATTTCTAGTAGCCCGGATTCAAATGAGGTGAGAGAGAGGGAGGGTATTCCTGATTTAGAGGAAGAAACAGAGAATGAGGTCTATAGAGAGGTTCAAAAGGAGAAGGGAGAGAGTGCAGAAACGAGAAAGAATTCGAAACCAAGCACTCCTAATTCTAGATCACTGCCAGTGCATAAAAATAGAGAGGGTAGATCGAAATCAGGGCCAATGCGTAGAAGCGAGGGCAGTTCAAGATCAGGGGCACTACATATGGGTAGTGAGAGCAGTTCCAGATCAGTGCCTTCATGGAGTAGTGAGGAAAGTGCAAAACCATCAATGCCATCCGAATATACTAAAAGCACACTTAGGGAAGATCCGTCGCCCAGTAGTGAGGCTACCGGGTCGATTATTTTGACAGATGAGAAAAGCAGTTCGGAAAGTCTTGTATCGAAGAGTGTCGATGAGGGTTCAGTGAAGAAGAAAGGGGTGAGTTTTGAGGTGGATGAGACACCAAAATATGAAGTTGATTCCTCCAAGTTGAGCAGCTTAACTACTTTATCACCTCATGGCACTCGAGATCTTCGGGAAGTTGTGGCTGAAATCAGGGATGACTTCCTGATTGCCTCTAGCTATGGGAAAGAGGTAGCGATGATGCTTGAAGTTGGGAAGGTACCTTATCATCCCGGCATTCTAAAAGGTGGTCTTCTCGCTATAAATTTCTCTTTTCCTTCGTAATTCCTGGAATTCTCTGTAGTTTAGTGTTATTTCTACCAGTGAAGATTTAGATTAACAGGATTGTTCTCTATGCATTGGTACATTTTGTATTATCTTGTTGTATGGCTGAACAGATGATGGTTGTCACTTGTTAGAAGTAGGTTACTAAAAATCCTTGCGGAATGTGATACCCTGTTTTCCTTCAAAATATGGATATATGATTGACGCTTAATAAAAGACGTGCATATTGCTGTTATAGCTGTAGAGTTTAATTTGCTTTGGAAGTTGGTCTTTTCATTTTCTGTTGTTTTTTTTTTTCCTTTTTCCGTTTTAATAAACTTTGTTCGGTTCACCTTTTGATTCCTTCATGCATCTTTTGATTCTATTAAGAATTCCGATGGGTATATTTGATGTTCTTTCCTGAGGTAATGACTAGTGATATTCTTGCGAAACACATACATTGAGATTTTGTTATAACTTGTGTATCCTTTACCAGTGATTCTTTCCAAGATTTTGCACCCCATTGCTCCATCCCTGTTGTCATCAAATCCTCCATCAATGCAGTCAAGAAACTTAGCTTCCAGAACATCGAAGTTGGCAAAGTCTTATTTTGGGGATGTTGAGAAGGACGCAAACAACAGCGTATGTAACCTTTCGTCCACGCTGGACAAGCTGTATGCATGGGAAGAAAAACTATACAAGGAAGTAAAGGTAATATGGCTTTAGATTTTAAGAGCCTAAGCACACTTTATTCCTTGTTCGTTTCTCTTGGTTTTTGTCATGCACTCTCATGTAATAGATAACGTTGAAAAGTGTCTGGCGTTTATGGTTTTCTCATCATTACATTTCATTTTGCACTTGAATTGATGGTCGTCCTTCAGATATGAGATACCCTTTAAGCAGTTAAAAGACTTGAGACTTTTAATGGTTATAAATAATATTAGTTTGAATTCTTCATCTTTATTGTCCCTTGAGCTAGAGCTGAATCGCCATCCCAGGAGAACATTAAAGTGACTAAGAACCAACTAGATCTTGTAAAACCCAAGCTAGAATGTGAATTAATTGGTGGGAGAGCCATAAAAGTGCCAAGGATACGAACTTCGTCAAGGGCAGAAATGCTGTGTTTAATGGAAGGAATCATTTGATCTGGTTATCTGATGTATCGATGCTAAAATATTGTTACTCCTATGATTGCAAAATTTATATCATTTGAACTTTTTAACTTGACATGTAATATAGATGTTAACAAATATGAAATTGCTGGGCATTAGAACTACGCAAATAACAATTCCCAAGTACTGAAAGAACTTCATTGGGAAGAAACCATTCAATTCTCAGTTTTTTTATTTGTTATTCAAAAAGATATTTGTTGAACAAATAAATTATTATCTGCGCTCATGCTTGTGACGTGTCATTTGCAGATTCTGAAATGACTTAATGTATTTAGAATTTGCTGGGTACGGGTAGATAATATAAGATTGTAGAAATGCTCAACACATCTTGGTTCCCACAAATCATATTTTATTCTTTTGTGAGCTGGCTATAGGCTACTTGGCTCGAATTCTGTGGGTGTGAAGTGAGCTTACTGCATGATGCATGTGTTGAGACCTTACTTGAAATTTCTCTTTCCTCTTATTCTTATAAAAATTATTATACCAACTCTGCACTCAAGATACTTTGTCATGTTATCTTGGTATTCAATCTTGCGCAGTTTTAATATGTGGTTACTTTGATCAGGAAGAAGAAAAACTGCGTGTTATATATGAAAAACAATGCAAGAGGCTAAAAGGTTTAGATGAGAAAGGAGCCGATCCTGGTAAGATTGAAGCTACTCAAGCTGCGATCAGAAGATCCCAAACTAGGCTTAAGGTTAGCATTAAAACAATTGATGCAATTTCGAGCAGGATACACAAGTTGAGGGATAAAGAGTTGCAACCCCAAATTGCTGAATTGATTCATGGGTATGAACATGCTTCCTGTTATTCTCCTTTTTATTTAATCAACCTCATAGATTTGTGGCACATTGTCCCCGTAAAACATGCATGGAGCAGTAAGTAGACTTGCTTATTCCGTCTCTGTCGGTAGCATTTATTGTTCCCCTTCTGTTGTCTATGTAAATGGATGAATGACATTGTTGACATTTTTTCGAGTTTTGATATTATTTTTTTGAGTCTATTATACAAAATGCTCAGCACTAAAGTTGGTTTGAGCAGAGCCACTTTCTTCCATATGTTTGAATGCACATACATGCAATTATTGAATGTTTATACACTGCCGCTGCTTGTGATGCAGCAAGATATAGATTTATTACATGAAAAAGGTAAATTAGTTACTTTTCCATGAACAATTTCGAGGAATAATAAACTTCAAAGGAAAGATAAGAACAGTGGCAGTTATGCTCTGGCATGTTTGAGAGGAAAGGATGTATAAGAAGGGAAGGAAAGGAATGAAGAATTTGCATATTCTATGTTGAGATAAGTGGAGGGGAATGAAAAAGAATACTCAATAAGTCATACCATATGTTTTTTATATTACATGGATATGGATGTCCCTCTATTTCTCTCGTAATGGGGTAGCACCGTAGCAGACTGAACATGAATTTCATCAATTTTGGAGTTGGAGAAATGTAAGTTCTCTTGATCTTTATATCGGCCGGATTTGATGAATGGCATGATATACAACTTTGATGTGTGAAATCTATTTGTTGGTTTTAGTCTTGGGTTCTAGACCCGAGGTTGGGTCTGATGCTGCATTTGCTGAATATCAGAAACATTTTAATCTGAGTTGGAGTAGATGTAACTGGTGCAAGATGTAACGCAGAAAGGAAAAGACAGAAATAGAAAGAAGAGGGGAAAAATCTGTACTAAAAATCAATAATCGACAATAGTCTCAATACAATGAAATCCCGTGTCCTATTTTTATTAAAGAACTTATATCTAAAGGAAGTTCATAGTCCAGGTTTTGTAATAATTTTTCTCAACTATTATTGATACTTGCTAGCACTCTTGACACCCATCCACCTGTTTGTTATTCTGTATAATAGAAATGAATAACTTGGCAATTGGGAAGGCTCTCTTCCATTTACTGGTTCATTGAGCTTATAAATAATTGCAAATTCTTTTGATGACCTCTGCTGCAGATAACCTGATATTCTTCGGCCATATTCTGTCATTTTTCTTTATTTATTTGAATTTTTAACTAGAATTGAGTGATAGCATGTTGTGTTGATTTAAAGTTTTTTCTCCCCCACCACAGCAGAAACTGCAACTGATCCCAACTTATACTCCTTGTTGTAGGATAACCTTTTATTCAGTGTTTAATCCTTTATTATTAATGTAATATGATGATCCTTTCCTGAATTAAATATCGTGTAGAGTGCTTGCTCTTTCAATTCATTTAATTGATAGCTTGTAATATGTAGGCTGATAAGAATGTGGAAGTCGATGCTCAAGTGTCATCAGAAGCAGTTTCAAGCTATCATGGAGAGTAAAATACGGAGGCTCAGAGCCAACACTGGTTTCCGAACAGATTCAAATTTGAGGGCAACAGCTGAACTGGAGATGGAGCTTCGTGAATGGCGTGAGCATTTTAATGATTGGATTGGCACTCAAAAGTCCTATGTTGAATCCTTAAATGGCTGGCTTCTGCGGTGTCTTCAATATGAGCCGGAAGAGACCCCCGATGGCCCTGTTCCCTATTCCCCAGGCCAGCTTGGAGCTCCTCCCATTTTTGTAATTTGTAATGATTGGAATCAAGCCATGGAAGCCATATCCGAGGTGCGGGTGGCGAATACAATGAATACATTTGCTTCAAGCTTGCGACAGCTATGGGAAAAACAAAACGAAGAGCAGCTTCAAAGGCTCAAAGCAGATTATGTTTCAAAGGATTTTAAGAAACAGCTTAGAACACACAGGACGGAGAGGGGAAGAGTGGAACTTGAACATGACGCTAAGTCTGACAAAACTAGTTTGTCTATGGTTCCTTCAGAAAATGGAGTTTCGTCGTTGGATGATCTAAAGGTGGACTTGGATTCTCTGAGAAAACGAGTGGCGGATGAGAGGATAAAGCACAAGGATGCTATCAAATTGGTGCATGATGCGGCTTCTAGCAGTTTACAAGGAGGTTTGGTTCCTATCTTTAAGGCTTTGGAGAATTTCACATCTGAGGCTTTGAAAGCACATGAACATGTTAGGTTACAAAATACTGGCCCGAGTTCATAGGAATAGTTAGAACTGTGATGAGTTCAAGGGTTCCCATTAGACTGTGTAAATTATATGTTAGTTAAATTAGGAAAAAAAGGCGATGAAAGATTTGTAGGTAACAATGAGATGAATTATGTCAAGTTGAAACTATATCCAATGAAGGGAGCTGTATTGCTTCTGAATGATGAGAGGTTTGAAGCAGACCGTTTAAGGAAATGGTACGAGATTTATAAGCGGTTCGGATTTCCTTGGGAAAAACTATTGAATCTGTAATGATTAAATTAGGAATAGTGCAAAAGGAAAATTATAGAGGTTACAATAAGCTAGCTAGGGAAGTTCCCATTTGTAGATGTTACAGGGGGTTGTGTTCTTGATGCTAAAAGGACTGGCAGTATCTAGGAGGTTTATCATTTTGGGGGAATTATGAAGATCTGTACAATCTCTATTCCTATTGTTGCAAACCCTTCAATGGCGTGTTTGGCAAGGAGGATTGGATAACACTTTCTAGTTCAATCAAGCATAGCATGTACATGCTCAATACTTGTGCTCTGTGCTGATTCATTTATTTGTTGATTGTATGATTGACAGGCAGAAGTTTTGTTGATAGACAGTTAGCAGTTGATCTATTTCTTATGTTAGGGATAAGTAGAAGGTAATCTTGTTTTAGTTAGGTGGAGAAGGCTCAATTTTGATCGACTCTAGCTATTTTCTCCGATGTCTTGCCTTTCGAGATTCTTGTGCAAGTTCATCTCTCGGTTACCTTGAATCAGTTTTGCTTTTACATATTATGGTTTTACATATTATGAAGGATAGTGATGAGGGGGCGTGACACGTTCGATTGACAAAATTTTTAAATCATATATAAATAATCAAACTTCATTTTCAATCACGCATTCGTAGAGGTATTCACAATCTATTTCTATTTACTTATAAACTAAAATGTTTATAAAATTTTCACAAACTGAGACAATTTTTTCATTAAAGAAATACTTAGTTTTTTATTTTATTTCTATATGAAATAATTAATTTTTTAAGAATATCGTTTTACATTTGTAGCGCATGTTTTACTAAGCTAAAACATTTTTACTTCTAAATATTACAAGTATTAGAAATTTAGAATAATAATTTTTTCATAAGTTAAAATTAAAAATAAACTAACTATTTATTTTGACAATTATGTTTATGTTAGCCAAACATGCCAAGAATAAAATAAAAATAAAAATAGAATTCGTTAAAATAGAATCCGTTGAAACTAGCCAATTTTGAGGTGAATCGTCCAGTTCTCAACTAAAAATTGACTCATTCAAACTAATTTTTTTGCTTTAATTTTATTCAATGGCTACGATACCAAGTGATGTGTATCCCGTTGTAGGATGTATCCTAAAATCCTTACGAAATTTGATAAAACCCCAAGAAGACTAAAATCAGAGCTATAACATTGACCCAATAAATTCTTGAATCAAGAACCAAAGTTGAAATGGTTGAACGTCACAAAAATTGGAAGTCTTCAATAAGTTCGAGATAATTTAATTAAAAACAAGATATGAAAGAAAATAATCTCACCTTATATATTAACATCGATGAACTTTGATTTAACTCATGATTTTTTTTTCGAGTTAATGTCCATACCAATTTTAACTACTGCTAGATACCACAATAAATTGACTTTTAAGCATTTTTATTTTTTATTTTTTATCTATCATTCTTCAAAAATTCATTTATCTAAGCCTATATTTGACAATCATTATTTCAACTCTTTAATTTTCACACACATTTTCAACATGAGATTTGGCTTCAACATTGTCCAAAGTTGGCGTTGAGCAATTTATTATAAATGAGGAAATTAAGAGTATGTTTGACAATCATTATTGTGAAAAAAAAAAAAAAAAAGAGTTTTGAATAGTAAATTTTAGGAGAATTTGTGATTAAAAAGTAGAGAATTTTTTTCATACATGGTATTTTGTTGTGTAAATGTATGATTGAAAATAATTGTGTAACAAAGAGTTAAATATTTCATTAGTCATCAAACTTTACAATGCTTCCACTGTACTTTATACTCGTGTACTCCATCACTCATTTGACAGATTCCCTTGTTCTCTTTGTCTACTTGGATGATGACAATGTCAACTGGGTGGACAAGTGCCAAATTGTTCATCTCAGCAAATTTTCCAAATTGAAATATTTAATTCACAGGCAAAAAGATAAATCATGATCGAAATTTCTATCATAGGAAACAAAAGATTGATACAATTTCAAACGTTCTCAGACTTATCGATCGGAATCTTCATTTCCATCTGGATTTCATTGGCGTGCATGATACACACGCGTGTATTTCAATCTTTTTTTCAAGTAACGTTATTCATCTCCACTGGGGATGAAAACACAGTTTATGTGGCTTTAAATGATAGGTTAAATGAATGATGAAATTAAATGACTTATTTAATTTCACATATCATTTAATGTCACATTGATGTCACGTAGACTGTATTTTCATCCTTAGTGGGGATGAATAGTATTACTCTTTTTTTCCATTTCTGATTCTTCCGTATTACAGACCACACACAACACAGGTGGGACCCGCATTTTTTGGAATATTTTATTGACAATGAGACCCACATCCATGTGACACTTCTGGTGGAATTATGTGAAATTTTTTCTGTACACATGCATTTTCCCATTGGAAAGAGAAGTTTCTGGTTAGTTCTGGCAATTTTTGCAGCTCTGATCCCCGAATTTTCCCCCACGATGGCCTCTCGTCCAACCGCCTTGTAGTCGTAGCAGCAGTTGTGCTTGAAAGAGTCTTAGCTGTAGTCGATTTGGGGTTTAGGGTCGTCTCCAATTGAGGATTATTATTATTATTATTATTTGATTTTGTGACTGTCATCCACGCATCTCATTGACCGAGTTAAGTACCATGTATTATTTTCATTATACACGTAGGCGAATAGAAAAAGGGAATCCATATGATGAGTGATGAAGTACACAAGTATAAAGCTCAATGGCCAGTAGGAAGCATTGTAATGTTCTTTGAGTAACTCGTGACAATGTAAAGTTTGATGACCAATGAAATATTTAACTATCGTAAGAAATCATAAAATAAATTAGGGAATGTTTGAACCCATCTTTTAGGTAGAATGCATTTTGGAACAATAGATTGATGAAAAATGTGTAATTAAAAATGAAGGAAAATTTTTTAAATTGCGTATATTAGTATTGCTTTAATAAAGGATTTGTAATTAAAAAGAAGAGAGAAAAATATATTTTTGAAAAAACGAGGAGCAAACAAGGTAGACCTTGTCATTGTCAAACACTATAAAGAAAATAAGGAATGCACAGCAAAACTTGATCAATGATTGGGATTCATGGGCGGGAATAACACCAGATTAATTTCAAAAAAATTATGAATAAGAAAAAACAATAATAAGTACACAGAAAAAAGCTGAAAAAGTGAGCTTTTTCATCAGTGTTCATTCAAACCTCACATGCGCGTCTCAAAACTCGATGCTAAAAAACCCAAAAATTATCTTGGAGATAAAATTTGTGGGTTGTTGTCTGAATTCTTCCCGGCATTCTACAGATCTTGAATTAGCCGGATTTTTTTATTGGGAACTCCAAAAACCCAAGAAAAAAAAAATTAAGTATGAAAATAATAACTGTTGGGAAATAAAGTGAGTTTCCTGCTAATTATTTTGGATTTATGGCTCCAAGATTGGATCTTTTCTGTTGGACATTCTTGAATCTTCATCTCAGGTACATTTCTGTTGCTAGGTACTGTTCTATTTAAATCTTTTTGTTTTCCCATTTTTTTAATTTTTTGATATGGATATTTTTGGTTACTTCAAAGAATGAATCTTTGATTGGTTATAACCTAGTGGTTTTCTGATATTTCTGTCCCCGCCCCCCAATTTGTTACTTTTATTTTTTCACCTCATCCCCGTACCAACACATAGCTGTTTGTTTTGTTTCTTAGTTTACCGCAGCTATAAAAGTCTTGTTTCTAAAGTGAGTTTTTTTTTAGTGTTAGTTTTGTTGAGGTTGGATGTGTTCAGTTGGTTGGATTCGAAGCAAAGATGAGCCAACTCATATCTTCAGGATTTCAATAAATCTGCTACATTTTTTCTCTCAAAAGGAGATTATTGTGATTAATCATATATTTGTGCAATTTATGTAGGGTTATTTTTTATTGCTTTGGTTTTATTTCAATGCAATTTGTGGTTGTATCTGCAGATTTGAATACTTCTTTATGATTATGAGCTTGTGGGAGATTTGATTGGCTATTGAGATGGAAAAGAGGAAATGGTTATGGAAGAAGAGATCTTCTGAGAAGAGTCCGGGTGACAGTGAAAGCTCTGGTTCAATATCATCACATTCAGAGAGATACTCTGATGAGCAGGTAAATGATCATTTAACCTCAAAATGTGTATCATTCTAGTCTTTTTTGTGCTTACCATTAAATATGGTCTAATACTGTGCACTTGCAGTTGATGTATTGTACTACGTATTCACATAGGACCACCAATTTCGTTTAGAGCTATTGGCATTTTCTGTATTTCAAAAACTTTGACTTGATTTCAATCTGTCTCTCAGTATAAAACGTCTTCAAAGCTTTGATCGAATTGTGTGATAATAGTCTGCATTATCAACAAGTTAACGGTATTAGCAATCAAATTCTTCTCTTTAACTTCAAGTGTCTGACTCGTGAAAAATAAAACTAATGCATATTGCTAAAACAACCAAGGAATTATTGATGTTTGAATTATTAGAAGCCTAATCATACAGTAGACTTATATTCCATATTTCTATTATGCCGACCTAATGTTCCCAAGCTATATGTAAAGTATTTTAATGAGGCCTTTCTGAGTTACTCAAATTTAGAGACATGTTTTTTCTTCATAGTGAAAACCTTCAGGCAAGTGGAAGTAACTTTGTAAGTGAACCATTATAAATGTATGTGTTCTTTGCTTGTTTTTGTTTTCCCATAGCTCTTATTAATTGGGATTAGGACTCAATTGGTTAACCATAATAACTGACTTCTTTTCCTTGAGCTGATTGTATGGTGTAAATGGTAAATGAAAGTTATGAATCTCCTATTGTAACCTTTCCAGGAACCACCATGATTTCATCTTGTTTGTATGAGTTAATAACTTTCATTGAATCTCAATTATCTAGTAATTTCGAAAGGAGAAAAAACAATGGTTAAAATAAGCATTTTCTATTGATCAGAAGGTAAAATCATGTATTGAAACATATAAATGGAACTTAGTATGATTCTCATACAGTTGCAAATAGGGAAGTGAATTTTATTTTTAACTCTTGTTTTGTTCTTTGCCATTGTTTTTAGTGCAACTCAGAAGTGAATATCAGCTAGAAGATTTTTGATACATGTTCTATATCCTACCAATTTGTTTTCTTTTGAATGGTTCGTAAAACTTTATGTTAAAGGTTATGAGCCTTTAGAATAAATGAATTTTTTTGATGTTATTACTTATTTTAAGAAACTCTTTGTTGGATAAAAGTATCTTATTTCATATTGCATTTTTGTGATTTCTATTTTGTTACATTCAAGCAGCAGGATGCATTGAAGGACTCTTCAAATCTTAACACACAATCACCTGAAGTCACGTCGAAAGCTGCGATTGTTGATGACGAAGTCGAGAAAAATGTGAAAAATCTGACAGAGAAGTTATCGGCTGCACTCGTCAATGTTAGCGCCAAAGAAGACTTGGTTAAGCAGCATGCCAAGGTTGCTGAAGAAGCTGTGGCTGGTAATAGTTTTCAGTTTGTTTAAGAAACTTTTTACTCATTTCCACGTTTTTATGCATTTTCACTCATTAAAAAATTGTCCACGTGTAGGCCTTTGATGAAAAAATGAATTTGCCCACACATGAGGGTGCATCTGAAGGACAAAATTTAAACAAATACATTTGTCCCCTCTCTAACAACTTCACCTTTGAGATAAACTGGTACAACACCACCCATCCAAAAAAGGAATAAATTTCTAAAATAATGTCTCCTAGAAATGCCTGCAACGAATAAGTTCAATGGGAGTAGGGGGTGGACTACTCGTTGATAACTTTTTAAAAGAAAAAAAAATTACTTGCAGTAATAGTATCAAATTTGACTGGAATATGTCTCAAAATATTATTCTGATGCATTTTAGGCATGTTTGGTATACCGGATTGTACTGCAGTGGATATGATATATAAATGAATACAAGTTATTATTTTTTTAATAAATTGTAGACACACTCAGTGGTGTGTTATCTAGCGAAAAAAATAAAAACGAGTACAACTTAGGAAGGGGCTAGACCTTACCTCCAAAAATTGATACTATATTTATACTTATCTCAAACTAATGTGGCAATGCATGAGATAAATTGAGTAAAGTTTGGTCAAGTTTAAGGAGACCTCTGGTATTCATATGCCTTCATTCGTGTTGTGATGCATTTTTAAGAGTCGCCAGCAGAGTCATATTTGTTGGGACGGGGACTTAAGGGTTGAAACCAATTCGAAGATAATTGAATTCCTGTATTGTTATGTATGTAACGATGATAGAAAGTCTGGGCATTAGGATTGTACTAATAATCCGTGCAATTCCCAAGACCCATACAATCCATATCACTCTGAACAAGTTATAAATCTTGTCTATTGTCATGAGAAGCATATTGTCCACTGCATGCAAAACTTGCACTTTGTGTTTTACTTATCTTTTCCATTTATTAAACTCAGAACCTTTTCTAGTCCTTAATTACTTTATTTGATTGTTAGGCTGGGAAAGGGCAGAGAATGAAGTTGTTTCGTTGAAGCAGCAGCTGGAGGCAGCAATTCAGCAGAATCTGAACCTGGAAGTTAGATCCAGTCACCTCGATGGTGCCCTCAAGGAATGTGTAAGACAACTGAGACAAGCAAGGGATACTATGGTGGAGAAAACCAGCGAGTGGGAATCTGCAAAATCTGAGCTCGAGAACCAAATTATTGAGCTCCAGACCCTAGCAGAACCTGCCAAAACTGAACATTCTGCTTCTACTGATGCTAATATTCTCCTTAAGCTTAAGGCTACGGAGAAAGAGAATTCGTCTCTTAAGCAAGAACTCGTTTCTCTGTCGAAGGGGCTAGAGATTCGGACCATTGAGAGGGATTTAAGCACCCAAGCAGCAGAAACTGCTAGCAAGCTGCAATTAGAGAGTATAAAGAAAGTTGCAAAGCTTGAAGCTGAGTGTCGAAGGCTGCAAGCATTGGCTCGCAAATCATCCTCATTCAATGATCAGAAGTCCATTATGGCTTCTTCTTTCTCTGTTGAATCTCTCACTGATAGTCACTCAGATAGTGGGGAACGGCTGAGTACTTTAGAAGTTGATACTCGTAAGGTGAATAATGTGGAGATGGAGTTGAATGGACATGAAAAGAGTTGCTCAGATTCATGGGCCTCGGCCTTAATAGCAGAGCTTGATCAATTTAAGAACGAAAAGTCCATGCCTAAAAGTCTTGCCGCCTGTTCTGTTGAAATTGATATGATGGATGATTTTCTGGAGATGGAACGCCTTGCTGCATTACCAGAAATTAAGAATGGCATTTCAAGGGTTGATATTGCCGGAGAATCCACTTCGACTGAGAAATCATTGAATGATGAGCTTGAAAGAATGACTTGCCGGGTAGCTCAACTAGAGGAAGAGTTAGAGAAGATACAAACAGAGAAATCGAAACTGGAGAATGCTTTAGACGAGACTCGAGATTCACTCAATAAATCTGAAGCTCAACTGGCAGCATCTGAATTGAAGATTGAAGAGCTACAAAGGGGGCTGGGTATTGTGAATGAAGCAAAGGAGTTGCTTGAATTTCAACTAATTGGTATGGAAGTTGAAGCACGGACCATGTCAGCGAATATCGATTCGCTAAAGGCAGAAATGGAAATTGAACGAAATTCATCAACAGAAATGAAACTGAAGTATCAGGAATTGGAGAATGAACTAAATAGAAAAAACCACGAGACAGAGGATCAGCATAGTACAACCTCCAATGTTGAATTGAAACTAAAGCAGGTTGGAATCTTGAACCGTCAATGCATGTTTTGTTACTAGATAGCATTTTAACACGAGTAAACAGAAAATGAAATGTTGAAGATTTTAAATAAGTCTGCCCCATCTTTATTAGCTTAAGCTTTTAGATGAGGTTCAGAATGATGTTAGTTCACCAATGTCTTAGATTCAAGTATGGTTGCTATCCACTTATGAAACTTGTGCACGTATTGGCACTTTGATGAAAAAATGGATCTGATGTGCACGCCAAAGCCATATTTTAAATAATAATTTTGTCTCCTCCCTCAAAACTTAAAAGTTTTAGACTACTTGGTTTAACAAGAAACAAAATTATCAGTTATGAAACTATGTTTGTTGCAGGAGGACCTAGCTGTAGCTGCTGATAAGCTTGCAGAATGCCAGAAAACAATCGCTTCTCTTGGAAGACAGCTTCAATCTTTGGCAACATTGGAAGATTTCTTGATAGACACTGCAAACCTACCCGGATTTCCTAGAGGACCACTGGTTTCTGGCACCAATGGAGATTTATGGAGGACGCACTCAAACGACACGTTGGTTCCCAAATGTGAATTAGATCCAGCAAAAACAGTGCGAGAGAATTCTACTCCATTGATCAACGGGAACTATGAGGAATCTCCAGCATCTTCACCGGCTTATCTCACTACTGGTGGGAAGGCTAGAAATGGTTTTGTTAAATTTCTCTCTCGAACGAGGAGTGGGATTGACCTTGAGAATCATCACGGATAGCAAGAGCAGGGTATTTTTCTCCAAGCAGGACACAAAAATTGGTTTTAAAGATGCCGATTAAATTCTGATTGGCATTTGTATTTCTTATATGGATGGTGGTGTTGTCTTGAAATATTGTAATCCCAACAGCTTCTTTTTTCCGAAATGTATGTTAAAATTAGCTGGGACAAATGCACTTATTCACGGTAAGTATGTACTGATCAAGATATGGTCCTTTGTTGTAAAAAAGATCCAAAAGCCATCAGAAACCTATCTTATTTTCAGTGGCTCTTCTTTCGTGAGAACTTGATACATACCTGTCGAGCACATTTTGTTCTTTTAAAATGGCAACCAAGAAATCGGGTTAAGCCCTAGTAGGTTCTGTTGGAAAAAATGAGGTGATGACTGACTTTGGCATAAATTTTTTGTAGGATCCATTTGCTTATTTTGGAAGATCAACATTGATTTGTGTTTTCCTCCACGAGAACATCAAAATCATGTATTTACTTGTCAAAAAGAAACTCGAGTGAATGAGAAATTGGAGTTTAAAGTGGACTATTGGAATATAGTTTATATTGGAGGGAAAACTAAATTTGAGTTTATCCAACATAGGAAGTCTATGAAAGCAAGAATCATTATATATATGGCTACATTTTGAAAGTGTGTAATCATGTATAGCATAAATGCTCTCTCCACGTGTTCTCGCAGAGGAGCTAAATGATGAACCGAAATAGGCTTTGGACCTTGAACTTGTGCACAGGCGCGACCTACGTACACGAATATCGGATCAAATTGACCAAAAATTGACTCATTATGATGTTTTAGTTTGAAACTCTAATGATTATTGCCATTGTGTTAATGGACATATTTAACTCGTAATTATTTGGGTTAAGTCTATATAAAGCCTCGATTTTCCACTATTCTAGACATGAAAAAACAGTTTGTATTATAGTTCCAAAACAAATGAAATTGCCCTCTATCTGCATACATAATTTACTGTTTGTCAAGGTTTTGGTGGTGATACTGTTCAGATATTAAGTCAGCTCGTTGGAGTAGAAGCTGCAGTGCTCAGATTCTGATGGTTTCCCGTTGTATCCTGAAAAACAGACGCTCAAATTAAAACTCAAGCACCTACGTTGAGGGGCCGAATCTGTTTTAAGGAAACTATGTTCACACATGCCTCGATTTTAAAGTTCAATTGAATTTTTATTATCTCCTATTTAGATTGTTTGTTCTATTTTATCGTGTTTTATATAATTTATTTTGTTTGTTGTCATTAGCAAATTATTTAATCTGCTGTAAACTGTACATACGGTATGTTAATTGCATATACGATATGTTGGTTGCATATTCGATATGTTGAATTGCATATACGATATGTTGGTGGAATATGTTAAACCGGAATTCGTTCACGTTTATTTTTGCTAACAGGTTCATCCATTTCTTAGTTGACCAAGTTGATCATGATCAAGCATCAATGAACACATTGAACTATTCATTGGTTGAGAACCATCGTAGACTAGGCACAACGATAAAATTATGAGGGGGTGTGCTCTACGCCTCTACCACATCCTATTTTGAATGATGCAATTTTTAGTGTGTAATTGAACAGGTTTCTATACCAGTTTTCAAATGTACGAGTCGAAAACAGAGAAGGTAGATAATGTTGTCATTATGTACTTCGAATTGAGACCAAGGTTTTTTACATGGGATCCAAGCTGTAGTGGAAAAACACTAGTAGAATCTCCTATGACTTCACTAAGAAACAAAAGTTTTGTTTTTTCATATCTAATTGCTAGGTGGGAAAAATGTTTCTTTTCATCATTACATCCAAAAGACTCAAATACTTCAAAAATCGACGTTTGTAGAATTAACTACACAAAAAAAGGTTGAGGTGCAATTGGTTCTATAATCTCTCTTTTTAACATTTCTGCTCGAATTTATAATCTTTCGAAAGACTACACTCTAATATATTTACTCGAGTAACAAGTTAATCTTCAATCAAATGTTATAATTACATAATCAACCTTAGGAATCATAAATGTTCAAATATACTATAAAGTATTGTCACTATGTTGTCTAAAAGATATATAACTCAGGGGCATCAGGGATGGCAAATGAGTGGGGCAGAATTGGGTTAATCATTCCCATCTTGTCATGTCGAAGATTTCCGAGAGTTGGGACGAGACGAAAAATCCCATTTAATGCAAAAAAACACTCGTGTGGATGTAGTGAATGGGAAAAATAAAATAGGGCTGTACTATGGATACATAATTGTACCTACAGAAGTGTCTATATGGACACTCATCACCCCACCAATACCCAACGCCCCCTATTGGTGAGCGCCTGTTGCTGTCAGCGCCCCACCAATAGGGGGGTGCCGAGTATTCATTATGGACACCCCTATGGGTACAATTATGTACCCATAGCATTTTTCAATAAAATATAGTTCTTAAGCATGACAAAATAGGTGACAATTAAAAAGGAAAAATATAGGTACACAATTATAATTTAAAAATGTTTTAGGTGCCATATATATTCCCAAAAAGTTTTAGAGCTTGTTTGGGAGAGATTTTTTGGAGAAGAATTGATTTTGAATAGTGATATGATGGGAAATGTGTGGTTGAAAAAGAAGAAAAAATTATTGATGTGATGGAAAATATTATTTTATTGAAGAATGTGTGGTTGAAAATGAGAATTGATTTACTGTAGAAAA